AGTCTAACAGCCTCAGAGGGTCTCGCTAAACACACGGGTCTCTGTTCAGTTACCGTGCCAGCGCTCAGTGAGCCCCGGTGTAGTCCTCACTGCCAGGGCCTGCCCAGCTCGGGGACACCCCCTTGGAAGGAGCACGGGCAGCCCGTGCCTCCTGACATCGGGCTTCTCTTGAGGCAAGAATCTAGAAGAATCCAGGCAAGCAGTGTGCATCAGTCATGCAAGAATCCCATCATGCAGCTGTGCGTGGTACCTGCTTCTGTTTCTTTGCGCCATGAGGCTGGAGACAGAGCTTAGATCTGACATCTTTGCCTGAAAGTCCTAGAAGAGGGTGCAGTGGGGTGTCCAGGCTCTCAGAACGGGACCGGGACCCGCACTGAGTGGAGCCCTCGCTACCCACTCTTCCCATCACAGAATGGCGGTCGGGGAACTGAAGACCCTAGGTGCTGGCTGAGCTGGTGCATTGAGGCAGAAGGGGCGCTGGCCGGGGATTTGGCCTGCAGGAAGTTGTCCTGCTGTAACCCAGCAAGTCATTGAGAAAACTGCTCCAGCCTCGTCCGTCCCTAGCGGATGGTTACGATGGCTGAGTTCTTGTTGACACTGGTGTTCGTCTCCAGGAAAGAAACTATAAGTCTTATCTCATCCACCAGAGTTAGGATTTCATCCCGAAACACCCAGCCCTGTCTCGGTGTGTGTTTGTGCCTGCCGCACTGCGGTACATAATACCAGTGCACGTAACCCCCTCCTGCTGCCCGTCCCTGGTGCCTCTCATCCACATCCTTGGAGGAAAAGGCACCCTACAGGCCAGGCTTGATGTCTTCACGGCGCTTTTGAAGTCTGAGAGCGAGAGAAGTAAATACATTTCTGGTATTTTTAGTTATCCGTTGTAGATTACAGCTCGACCTTTGCCCTCTGTCCCAGGACAAAGGCTGGAGAGCAGGGAGTCGATGACCCCGAATATTGTTCTTTTATTTTTGGACTTCTCAGTATGAAGCCATTGTTTATCCCACTGGGTACATGAAACACACACACACACACACACACAACAAGGGCAATTTCAAGTAACAAATCTGAAAAAGTGTTCCCCGTTAACCCTGTTAGTTTTCCTTCCATTAGTCCTCCTGGATTTACTGGTTCAATTCAGCTAAAATGGGGGGGTGGGGATCAGTGTTTTCCCCAAGGGATAGGATACAGGCTAATCATAGCGGGACTAGGCAGATTTTAAGAAGACAGAGGCATCTTCTGTCTGCTCTGTTTCCGGAAAGTTAGCCTCCCAGTTTGAAAGGTCATCGCCAGAGGACAAGTTGAGTCGACCAGCGGGGCACTGACCCCCGCCTCCTGCCTCTTCCCACAGCTTCTGAGGGTGTGGACAAGGACTCCCTGACCTTGGAGCACCTCATCTGCTACAGCTTCCAGGTGGCCCGGGGCATGGAGTTCCTGGCATCGCGCAAGGTGAGTCAGGGTGGGGGAGGGAGGACAGGGAGGTCTCAGTGCCGGCACCACTTCTGGGCTCTGGGAAGAGCTCCGTGGGGGAGGGGCCCTGTGTCTGCTCCCTGAGGCTGATCTGAGAGTGGGGTAGGAGCCCGCTCTTGGTTACTCTAAGAGAATGCCCGAGGCAGCTGACTTTGTAGAGGAAAGATGTTTACTTTGGCTTCTGGTTCTGGAGGTTCACAGTCCAAGATTGAGAGCCCCCACCCCCATCCCCGGCCGACCTTTGGTGGCTTAGCATATCTCAGGGAACACGTGTCTGTCTCTGTCACTTGAAGCCACCAGGACACAGTCACGAGGGCCACGCCCCAGTGACCTAACCCAGGGTGATCACCTCCTGAGGGCCCTGCTGTAGTTGGATCCAGTTTCTGTCTCTAAGTGCCATGAGCAGAAGATGTTGGGGTTTCATGAGTTGGGGGCGGGGAGTGTGTGGGTGGGGGATGAACTGTGTTTAAATCAAACCACAGCAGGTGTTTAGGATTTTGTGAACTTAATTCATAGAATAAACACTTCTGGGCACAAGGAGACTTGGGGGCCGGGAGAAGGCAAAACTCTCAGGCTGGTGGAATTTAATGTTCTCGTGGGGGAAACAAGCCATCGCCAGTGGACACCAGCAAAATGCATTCGTCAGACTGGAGTAGGGGCGGGGGGCTGAAGCAGGAGGGATATAGGGTGTGTGTGTGTGTGTGTGTGTGTGCGCGCGCGTGTGTGTGCTGGGGGGATCTGTATTCATGCACGATTTTGAACAAGGTGGCTGAGAAAGGTTTCCCTCCAAATGTGACATTCCAGCAATGGCTAGGAGACGGGAGACTCGGGGGCCTTGCAGACATCTTGGTGGGCGAAAGTCTATTTTTAATGTATTCTCCGTTTACAACCATCCATCAAAAACTATTTGTTAGTCGTATAATTAGAAACCAGGAAGGACCCGCTTCAGATGAGAGCGATTAAAAGAGCTAAAATTAGAAAGTAGGCCAAACAAAGGCAGAGGTGGGGACGTGACAAGTTACAAATATTCCGAAGGTTGTAAACACGGCGGGGGGGGGGGGACCCCATTTCCCCTGCAAGGAGAAACACTGGGGTGAGAGGAGGAAGCCGGGCAGATTCCAGTGCTGGAGCAGGGGTCAGAGGTGCGGGGCTCCCAGGGACACAGGACTCCTCCGCTCTGCCTCTCTGGTCTGCCCGGGGGCTGCGGGGCCGCTGCAGGGAGTTAGGGGAAGGTTCAGGATGTGGCGGAGAAAAGGAGAGGCGAGCTCCGTAGCACTGGTTGGTGCACTGCACGCCTGCCTGACTTCCCGGGCTGTCCGTGCCTTCGTAGACCTTTACGACAAAACCACACTTTGCAAGCAAACAGGAACAGCACGCCTGGGGACTGTTCTATCAGTGTCAGGCCAGCCTCAGGTCCACAGGGGCTGGGGAGGTCCAGAGACAGCACCCCACCTGTGAGCACCCTGGCGTCTGATTTCTGTGCCTCCATTCACAAGAAATCCCATCTGCAGCCTCCCGTTCACCATATATGGCACCAGGCAAAGGGACGTGTGGCTGTGACCAGAAGCACCGTCATCACACCCTAACTCAGTTATTTAACTCAGAGCCTGGGGCTGTTTATGGAATAAACAGATGTGCTCCAACCAAGTGCACCGACTTTTTTTTTTTTTTTCCTGAAGTGCTGATAAAAGATTCTAGCCCAGTGCTTGTTCCTCAGTGGGTTTTCTATTGTGGGATTTTTTTTTTCCCCCGAAGCGTGAGGTCACGAGCCATGGGGAGGAGCTGAGCTGTGCGGGGAGCTAACACACGCACGATTCTCCTTGCAGTGCATCCACAGAGACCTGGCGGCACGGAACATCCTCTTGTCGGAGAAGAACGTGGTGAAGATCTGTGACTTTGGCCTGGCCCGGGATATTTATAAAGACCCCGATTATGTCAGAAAAGGAGACGTAAGTTGCAGAGATGGACCTGTGATGGCTCAGGGCGCAGAGGCCCAGCTCCTCAGGACCGAGGTTGCTTTCCCCTCTGATGCTGGCTAACTTGGGTCCCCGTTCTGGTCCCCCACCCTTGCAGGCTCGCCTGCCCCTGAAATGGATGGCCCCGGAAACGATTTTCGACAGAGTGTACACGATCCAGAGTGACGTGTGGTCTTTCGGCGTGTTGCTCTGGGAGATATTTTCCCTGGGTAAGTGACGCTCTGTGTATGCCCCCCCTCCCCCCGGCTCAGAGTCCAAGGAGGCTGATGAACCTTAGCAGCCCCCCACCTGTCTTATCCTCTCCTGGGTTTCACCTCTGCCACGTGAAACTTGGAGACTTTGGATTGAAAATCTAAAAGAAAAAAAAAAAGTCGTATAGATGATAAGGATGTGGCAGCATCCTTATCCTCTTACAGAGGAAATCAAACCATCAGATAACAGCCCCGCCTGCGTGGATTTTTAGGTGCTTCTCCGTATCCTGGAGTGAAGATCGATGAAGAATTTTGTAGGCGGTTGAAAGAAGGCACGAGAATGAGAGCCCCTGATTACACTACGCCCGAAATGTAAGATTCCAGGAATGGCCCTCCCTCGTTCGCCCAGCCTCGCTTCCCGATGCAGCTCCCTCTGCCAGCACCTCCAGGGCCCAGTGTGGGTCCTGCCATCCCCTTGCTGATGCCAGGCAGGCAGAGCGCTTGCAACCACGGCGCTCGGAGATCGCTCCCTGCCAGTTGGTTTTCTAGGAGATGCCGATTTGTGGGGTTTCCTTTTCTATCTGTACCTGGCTGCTGAGGGCAGGGGGGTGTGCCAAGCACAGTTTCTCCTTGGCCTTCGGTACGCACGCTGGCTCCTGGTCGGCTCTTCCCGGGGGTTCACCTGTTGCCTCTCGGTTCGCAGCTTCAGAGCCCGGAGGGCGGAGGCAGTCCGTGAAATCCGGTGTTTTGCTTCCGTAGGTACCAGACCATGCTTGACTGCTGGCACGGGGAGCCCAACGAGAGACCCACGTTTTCCGAGCTGGTGGAACATCTAGGGAACCTGTTACAAGCGAGCGCTCAGCAGGTTTGTGGTCCTCCCTCTGCAAAGCTGCTACAAAACGTGGGTGTCAAGGACACTGGTGCTGCCTGGCCCTGCTCAGGGTCGCCGTCGCATCCTGGGAGCCACGGGCTAAGGGGCGTATTCCTCCAGACCAGAACAACGATGCTTTTCTAAAAGCCCTGATTCCCCTTTCAGACAGAGGAGCCTTGCAGTCATGGCCTGGAGTGGGCAGCTCCTACTCCCGCCTACTTAGAAGGGGGAACTTCAAAAAGCTCATGGATAAATGGAATTCAAAGATAAGTTTATCTTGCTACAAAAAATTTTTGAAGTCCATGTGCATAGTTCTTTATCACGTGCATTCTCCATGAACCTTTTGAAGACACCTACAAATGCTCTCCTAAAGTTAAGGGGGAAAAAAAAGGACCTAGTTGATCTACAGAACATGAACAATGAAAGGAATTTTCTAGAAATGTTTGATAAATTCCATAGGCAAAAATACACCCAAACTTTGCAAAATAGGCATTTTCTTTTTTTCTTTTTTTTTTTTTTTTTTTGGGTAAAATCCCAATCCCATGGCTTCTACTACCGGATTTTAGAGTTGTAGCTTTTACCATTAGAAAATAATTTCATCGTTAGTCTATGCCTCATCCTACAGTGAAAACCAGTTTCCTCCTCTGCTTCTGAGGGGCGCTGGGAAATAGGCGAGATCTGTTTTCATCCATCACCTTCCAAACACCTGGAGGCACCACACTGCCCTTGGCTGCGTTCTCTGGAGAAATAATGTTGCATCGTGCACCGTCTTCTTGGAAGGCCCATTTCCCACCCACTCACCTGTCATCCCTTTGCCCGGTGCTCCACGTGCAGAAGTTCCACCTGGATGTGCTTGGCAGGGCTGGCCTGGTGGCCGGGCTTTGTGACGACCAGGGCCTCAGCTCTGCGTCTCTGCCTTTGTCCTTGTCCCACCTGTGACCAGAGCAGTTCTCTGGGGCTGTGGGCCCCCAGCCTCCTGGTCGGTAATGACCCCCTTTCCTGTTCCTTCTCACGCCCATCCTTGCTTTCAAGCGCCCTTCTTTGCCCAAACCATTTTGATTACCGTGCAGATATGAAAGCCAGCACACCCTATCACCCCGAGGCCGCCGTGCCCCTGTTGCCCATGAGAAGGCTCTTGCGGGACCAGCGCTGTAACGATAGATCTCTGTGCTGACGGTTTCAGGGTGGCAAAGACTACATCGTTCTTCCGATGTCAGAGACTTTGAGCATGGAAGAGGATTCCGGGCTCTCCCTGCCTACCTCACCTGTTTCCTGTATGGAGGAAGAGGAAGTGTGCGACCCCAAATTCCATTATGACAACACAGCAGGAATCAGGTATGCGTGTGTGTGTGTGTGTGTGTGTGTGGCCAGCTTCCCCTGGGGGTGGGGAGAGCAGAGCTTCACACCCATTCGGGGGAGGGGACTGGGAGGAAGATGCGGGCTGCATCCCACTTCCCCGGAACCTTGGCGCTGAGACACCTGTGTGTGTGTGTGTGTGTGGGCGGGTGCTCCTTGGAGAGGCACTGGATGGGTGTGCTTCCTCCCACCTGGAGCCCATGTTGCTGCCACGGACACCCTGCAGCTGTGAATAGCTGGAATGCCCCAGCTTGCTACCCTGCAGAAAAAGAGACCAGTTTCACAGAGACATCTGCATTTAAATTACCCCCATGTCCGCCTTTATCCATGGGAATTAACTGGCTTAGGAAAGATCCAGGCAGGGGGAGTCCTGTGCAAGTGTGAGACACACGCAAGGCGCTCTGCCCGCGGCATAGACCATCGTGCAGCTGTGGCTGGGGCCAGAGTGGATGCTGTGTCTTGCAGGCTCCTCCTGAGACTGGTTCTCAGCGTTGTATTTGCATAACGGGCATCTGGGCTCATCTGAAACATGTGTACTGAAGTCCATTCCTGAAGGCAGCTCGCTCCTTGCTCGGTCGCAGCATGAGGCCAGCTCCATTACCTAGGGCAGGACGGTGTGGTGGCTCAACATCCGGGCGTGGCAGTCAGCAGCCAAGCGACTGGGGCTGGGCGCCCAACCTCCCGCTCAGCTCCCTCCTACTCAGATCACACCCCTGACATGGATCCAGTCCTGGGCCCCTGACCAAGGAGGGGCCGTCAGAGAGACAGAGTCACTAAACAAGACCCAGTTTCCACTCCCACACTTGCGAATTCCTAGTTCAAGTTCAGCGCCGGCGCTGTCTCCTCCTCTCTCAGAGTCACTGCATCCTGAACCACCCTCCTGTGTTTGCGTGACTGGCTCGAGAGAGCACGCAAGCCGGCAGCCCATTGGCTGGCGTGGGAGTGCAGCACATGGACCAAGTAGGAGATAAAGCCATGGGTGTGCGCGTCATGCCCACAAACAGGGCTGCCCCTGAGATAGGAGTGTGAGCCTTTTCCCGCCTGGGTGCACAGGCCAAAGTGACGCCACACTCCCGGCATGCACCTGCCTGCTGTTTTCTGTCTGTGGTTTTTGAACTGGTCTCTTCAGCCTGATTTCTCTTTTATCCAGCCATAATTTGAAAAATAAAGTGGAAATTGGAATCTTTTATCTGCAGGTCTTCCCAACCCCCTCTAATTTCCCCCTTTTTGTAAAAATAAAACTCACAGCAGGCTTGTAATCATCTGGGTTACAAAGAAGAACCAAACGGAGGCCTCGACGCACTTGGTTTCTGATGCTTGTCTTGTGGTTTTGCTTCTCTGGGGAGACAGAGTGGAGGCGGCGGCCCCTCTCCAGAGACTTGTTCTGTCCTCTCGTGCGTTTCCAGCCAGAGAGAAAAGCTCTTGCTTCCGCCTTATGATTTTCAACGCATCGTGTTATAAATAGAGCCGGACGGAGGCATCGCTGTGGGAGCTAGCCTCGGGATCTCTTGCCCCTTTAAACAGTTGTCAAAATATTTGCGCAGCACGTATTGAGCGAGGAGGCTGGAAAGCGTGCGGGGTGGGGGAAGGCCCGCTCCTGTCTAGACTTCGCTCTGTCTCTGATTTTCCCCACGGGTCAGCTCTGGCCCCCAGGCTGCGTGCTTCCTGCGAGAAAGCGCGTATCCTCAGGACCCATCTCGCTTTGAGGACCGTGTGTGCGGTGGCTCCGTCATTTCCCCTGGAAGTTTGACCTCCCATGCCAAGCCCCTGGTCAAAGACTGCATCGCGGTTCTCCCCAGAGAACAGCCTAGGTTCACGCCGTGTCCTTCTTGGGGTGAATTTGCCAGTGCTGAGGAAGTGACCCTGGTAGAGGATGCGTGGGGCAGCCTGCCAGGTGCACGCTCGGGCTGGGGCGGGGGACGGCTGTCTCCACCTCTTGTCTGTTTCATGCCCCCTCTTTCTCCCAGCGCAAGGTCAGTGCACCCACAGCTGTGCGTGTCCCACACAGACGTGAACAACCGTGCCTGTCCCTCGCTCGCTCCTGACGCCCTTCCAAGGGAGTCGATGCGGAGGAAAGAACAAAATACTCCCTTGCCCAGGCTTTGAGTCATGGTCCCAGCCCCCGTTGGCTGTTTTTCCCCTTGGGCCTTGGCTTCCTGATTTCCAAGTGGGAAATCGTGGGGAGACCTGTTTGGTGGTTCCGTGAGGAGCGGCTGCCACGTGTTGCGGAAGTGCTGTGGCGGCCCTGAAAGACCGGGCCCCGCTTGAAGTCACTGGGCTCAGAATCCAGGCGCTTGCTAGGACAGCTGCCCTGTCACTCAGGCTCACCACCCTAGGGGACCCTCCCTCCCAGACTTCTCTGGACTCTGCCTGTCTGCAGCTCCCGTGGGTCTTCCCTGCCTTGCGCCTGGCTGCCTTCTGGTTCAGGGCGTTGTCCTTCCGGTGGGTCCCACTACCTCTGGTTGTGTCCATAGCCCAAAGTGAACTTTCTAAGGGCGCATCTGCTCATGTCAGTCCCATGCTTAAAATCCTCCAGGCTTTCTCGTCACCTTCAAAATAATAACGCTCTAGCCATGGGATTTCTCACGAGTTCCTTGACCTGCCCGTGCCTCAGTTTCCCCACCTGAAGAGCTGGGCTAGTAATGCCCGCTCCTAGAGCAGTAGCATTGTAAGGATGCCATATTGGCGTTGGAAGGGCACTTAGCATTCCCCGACGTGGGGGAGGCCCTCAGTGAGGGCTTCCTGTTGAGTGAGTGAATGGGTGATTGACATGGATGTGTAGGGCGTGTCGTTGTTGACAGCTCCACTGTTAGGGACCTTGCTTCTGGCTGCAGCTCGAGTCCTGTTTGTCGTGTGGAGTCTTGTGTGTGTGGGTCACTGGCAAACCCCATGTTTGTTCTCTTTCCTTGTAGGGAGAGGAGTCAGCCTCCTTGGTGGAGGAGGGAGACTTGGTCTCCATTCTCCTTTTTTTTCTTTTAATTTTTTTTTTTTTATTTTTTGACAGGCAGAGTGGACAGTGAGAGAGAGAGACAGAGAGAAAGGTCTTCCTTTTGCTGTTGGTTCACCCTCCAATGGCCGCTGTGGCCGGCACACCACGCTGATCCGAAGGCAGGAGCCAGGTGCTTCTCCTGGTCTCCCATGGGGTGCAGGGCCCAAGCACCTGGGCCATCCTCCACTGCACTCCCGGGCCACAGCAGAGAGCTGGCCTGGAAGAGGGGCAACTGGGACAGAATCTGGCGCCCTGACCGGGACTAGAACCCGGTGTGTCGGCACCACAGGTGGAGGATTAGCCTAGTGAGCCACGGCGCTGGCCAGGTCTCCATTCTCCTTTGCCCTGAGGTGTATGGGCATATTCCAGCAGGCGGCCTATGGGAGGAAATAGGTTGGGAGAAGAGTCTGTTTACTGTCTCTCTGGGCGCTTCCTGCGACAGGGACTTCCCATCCCCCGACTTGGGCTGGGTGTGGTTTTGGTAGGATTGTGTGGCCTCGACCCACAGGAGCACTCCCCAGGGAAGAGGTGATTGGCGCCTGACCTGACTTGTTCTCTGCGGGAAGCTCCTGATGGAAATGGGCTTCTTTTGGAATTCGAAGGAGAGGAGCGTGCTACCTTCCTGAGAACGCCAAGCCCAACACCTGCCACTTCATTCACCTTCCCGACAGCTGTGCGCACTGGGCAGCGGGGCAGTGAACGGCCAGCGCAGCCACAGCTCAGAAACACTCACGGGGTCTCAAGTCAGGGTGGGCAGTGGGAGACTCTGACATGCGCAGGATACGGCCTTTCCTGAGACAGGCGAAACGGGGGCTCTTGAGCCTCAGCCCGCCTCCTGCCCTCTATGGAAACTTCTAGAAGGAGGAAGGTGTCTGCAGCTCCTCGCTGCGTTCAGTGTGCTTTAGGGACGCCCACAGGTGCTTCCTCTTGTCCAGGTTGCTCTGTGAGTGGTGTCTGGAAAAACTGGCCCAGGCTCTGGGCCCAAAGATGTGAGTGGGATACCCAGAGTCCCTCAGGGTTGCCACGTGCATGCAGGAGGCCAGCAGTCTGCTGGGGTTGTCCTTAGGCCAGCGCTGGACCTCAGAAGTATGATTCAAAGGAACCAGGCTCCCCGGTTACATTATACTTTTAAATGGACTTTTACAGGAAATGAAGCCTTCAACGTGTGCTAGCAAAGATTTTGTTTTGTTTTGTTTTCTTTCTCCAAAGGATGTTTGGAAGGTCGCTGCTCAACTGTGGTTGAAAGATAATGAATTTAGGTATCACTTGTGGTATCTACAGCCAAATATACCACCACTAAAATATAAATATTTGTTCTCTTGCAGTCAGTATCTGCAGAACACTAAGCGAAAAAGCCGGCCTGTGAGTGTAAAAACATTTGAAGATATTCCGCTGGAGGAACCAGAAGTCAAAGTAGTCCCAGATGTAAGTACATCTTTTAAAAATAGTCTTAGAAATAATACGAAGGCTGAAACACTAGCTACACAAATATTAGCCTAAGCTTTAGAGTCTTGGAGCCCCATCGTAGGGCTGTGCTTGGTGGTATGTGCCACGGGGTCATTATGGGGATGGAACTTTGGTTTTTCCGTGAAAGAAAGGCCCCAGTCCAAGGTTCAAGAGGGACTAACTTCGTGCCCAGTTTCACTGAAGTGCAGAGAGTGTCACTGGGAGAGAGGGCTGGGAACGGACCTCCCAGCTGCTCCGTGCCTCCTCTCTTCCCCACCCTGGGCCTACCTGTGGGGAGCACCTGCGCCCTCCGCTAGCTTGCGCCGTTCCAGCTGCGACAGCTTCACCTTCCCCTGCAGGACACTGGAGCGTGTGCTCTGATAGAGGAGTTGGGAATCAGGTGAAGTCAGTCGCGGGTCCCTGCCTGCGCGCAGTCAGCCGAGCGTCTCCTTGTCTCTTACGCAGGACAACCAGTCGGACAGTGGCATGGTGCTTGCGTCAGAAGAGCTGAGAACTTTGGAAGACAGAACCAAATTAGTTCCGGCTTTTAGGTAAGGCTCAGCCAAAGGAAACCAATTTCAGCAGGAAATTCTGAAAACTGTTAAGGGGGGTTTTGCCTGTTAGTGTCTTTGTTGGTGGGAGAAGCGAATGTCCTTAATTAGCAACCCAACAAAGACTGGAACAATGAAATTGACAAGTCAGAACAAACAATCCGAGGTAAACGAGAGGATTTGGCTAATTTGGATGAGAATTTGTGAGTGCTAGGAGATTTCTGAGTGTATTTACCTTGCCTCTTAGTTTGTGTGATACTTGCAAAATAACAAAAATCTCACAGGTTGCGATCCCTAAAGCTACCGATAGATTAAAATCATCATGGACATAAATGAGTGACTCTTCACTTAGGACGGATGCTATGTGAATAAACCACACCTATTTATTTGAGATGCTTCAATACTGCTGAATTCTTATGTACTTAATTGTAGACAAAGTGTTACATTTGGTTTTGAATATAATCTCTCCCATATGACTCAACATAAACTTGTAGTTGCTTTGAATGCCTGTAGTTGCTTTTAACGTAACAAATACATGGAAATCTGTGTTCATAAGAATAATAGGGCCGGCACTGTGGCTCACTAGGCTAATCCTCCACCTGCAGCGGCACCAGCACCCCAGGTTCTAGTCCCGGTTGGGGCGCCGGATTCTGTCCCGGTTGCCCCTCTTCCAGTCCAGCTCTCTGCTGTGGCCCGGGAGGGCAGTGGAGGATGGCCCAAGTGCTTGGGCCCTGCACCCCATGGGAGACCAGGAGAAACACCTGGCTCCTGCCTTCGGATCAGCGTGGTGCGCCGGCCACAGCGGCCATTGGAGGGTGAACCAACAGCAAAAGGAAGACCTTTCTCTCTGTCTCTCTCTCTCACTGTCCACTCTGCCTGTCAAAAAAAAAAAAAAAAAAAAAAAAAAAAGGAGTGGATTGAAGGAAACATTCCATGTCTAGTCTTTGGAGTAACTTTTAAACATTTATTAACAGAGTTGGCAAACCTCTTTTTGAACTTTTGTTTTAAAGATTTTATTTATTTATTTGAGAGGTGGAGAGAGGGAGAGACAGAGAGAAAGGTCTGTCAGCCACTGGTTCACTCCCCAGATGGCCGCCACGGCCGAAGCTGGGCCGATCTGAAGCCAGAAGCCAGGAGCTTCTTCTGGGTCTCCCACACGGGTGCAGGGGCCCAAGGACTTGAGCCATCTTCCACTGCTTTCCCAGGCCATTAGCAGAGAGATAGATCAGAAAAGGAGCAGCCAGGACTTGAACCAGCGCCCATATGGGATGCCGGCGCCACAGGCTGAAACAGCCGACTGTGCCAACAGCACCGGCCCCTTTTTGAACTTTTTAGCCTGAGTGATTTGGGCGCAGCACTGATGAAGGGGAAGACTCCTTAGAGAGGCTTGAGATGTCAGTCATGAAGGCTTCGGTCTGCACGGTGCGCACTGCCCGATTCTGACACGGGTCCAGTCTGTCGGGGTGCCAGGCCACTGAGCCCGCGCTCTGGCTGGGGCTCCGTCCTTCCAAGGAATGTGGGGTTGAGGAGCGAAAAGCGGTTTGTGACACCTGATCTGTGTGCACTCACATCTCAAGGGGGTACAGTTTCCAGTTGTTCAAAACTCTTATAACCCCCATACCTGTGCCTGGTCGTACCCTCACAGAGAGAGTGTGGAGAGCACTGGTGAACGTCGAGAACATCCCAGTGTCCCTTTGGTGTTTTTTTTTTAAAGATTTATTTATTTATTTGAAAGGCAGAGTTACAGAGAGGCAGAGGCAGAGAGAGACAGAGAGGGAGAGAGAGAGGTCTTCCATCTAATGGTTCACTCCCCAGATGGCTGCAATGGCCAGAGCTGTGCCGATCCAAAGCCAGGAGCCTGGAACTTCTTCCAGGTCTCCCATGTGGGTGCAGGGGCCCAAGCACTTGGGCCATCCTCTACTGCTTTCCTGGGCCATAGCAGAGAGCTGGACGGGAAGTGGAGCAGCCAGGACTTGAACTGGCGCCCATATGGGATGCTGGCGCTGCAGGCCAGAGCTTTAACCCACTGCGCCACAGTGCTGGCCCCTTAATTTCCTTTAAGACCACCAAAGTGGCCTCTTGGCTCCTGTCCGTGTATACACACTTGGCACTCTGCAGGGCCAGAAAGCCACTCCCTTGGGTGGCAACTTTGCAGAGCCCGGAACTGCCTTTCCTTTGAAGGGAGGCTTCAGCGACTTGCACCTGGACGGGGAGACCACGCTGCAGCCACTGGTTCACACCAGGACCTGAAAACAGATACTGTCCCAGTCAACCGGACACGCGGATTAACGACGACTGGGAGAGACAGGGTGGCCGGCGGGGTCCCCAGGGAGATGACAGCCCACGTGGAGCTGGGAACGGGCTTAGGGCGACAAGCAAGCACCCTGTCTTCCCTCCGCCCACTCACTTGCTCTCCGTTTCTTCCACAGTGGGATGATGTCCAGCAAGAGCAGGGAGTCTGTGGCATCTGAAAGCTCCAACCAGACGAGCGGCTACCAGTCCGGGTACCACTCGGACGACACAGACACCGCGGTGTCCTCCAGTGAGGAGGCGGAACTTTTAAAGCGGGTGGAGGCTGGAGGGCCGGCGGGCGGCCCGGCCCTAGGTCTCCAGCCTGACTCTGGCGCCCTGCTGAGCTCCTCTGCTGTTTAAAGGGAGTGCCCGCGTACCCCACTCCTGGAAGTCCCGGGAGAGGCGAAGGTCAGCCAGCCACTGCCGCCGCCGGGAAGTAGCCACATGTGACTTTTGTTTCCATAGAAACCAGAAAGGACCTCGGACTGCAGGGAGGAGTCTTCCAGGCGCTTCCCAACATGCTCGTGACCCAAGAATGTGTGTGTGTCTCCTCCTGTGCCGATCTCCCCTTCCAGCGGTTTCCAGACTGCCTCTCACGCCCCCAGCCGGAAGAAGCGGCCGGCCCTGGGGAGCCACCAGAGCTGGAGAACTGGGCGGTGCTGCCCATGCTGGGGGTGGTGAGGCCAGCCACCACGGACAGGGCCCAGGCCAAGTGCACGGCGCTGTGCAGGCTGCGGGGCCTGCCCGCGCCTCGTGTTGGCTCCTGCGAAGGTGGCCCCTGGTCTCTTAGGAAAGGCCGCCCGGGGTTTCTGGTTGGAGGAGTTTGCGTGCTCTGGGCAGCTGGGCCAAAGGAGAGTCCCTGGTGCGCTTCCGACCCCTGATGAGAGGTCCTTCCGCACCCTGACGTGGCTCCTGGCCGAGTCCCGGGAAGGAAATGACGCAGGTCTGGCGCCTTGTCTCCCGGGCCGATCTGCTCTGCAGAGCGCCGAGAAGGAAAGACACTGGGCCCGAGGTGCCCTGTCCCGGGCAGGAGTCTGACCCTGCAGGCGGCTTCTAGAGCCTCTGGCTGAGTGTACACCTGGCCGACCTGGTGGCTGGTGTCTGGGACTGACCGCAGCAGGTGTCAGCCTTGCGCCCCTTCTCCCCCCTCCCAGCCCCACGCCCTCGCCCCCACATTGGTTCTTTGGGGGCCCTCCACACTCCAGTAAGCCCAACTCGATTTGTTCACTCTCTTGACTGTTAGCTTTTTGTTTTTTTCAAAATTACTTTATAGCCAAAGTTATAATAACATCTATTGTATTATTTAGACTTTTAACATATGAAGCTGTTTCTTCTGATTTTTGTCCTTGTTCTGTTCTTTTCTTTAAAAAAAAAAAGAAGAAACTATTTTTCCATTGGTTGGTACCATAGTGTGAGATGCTGGGAACAATGGCTATAAGACATGCTATGGCACACATATTTATAGTCTGTTTATGTAGAAACAAATGTAATATATTAAAACCGTATAATATATATAATGAACTTTGTACTATTCACCCTTCGTATCAGTATTATGTAGCATAACAATGGCCATCGTATTTCAGCAATTGTTGTCATTTTATTAAAAAAAGCATTGAAACCTTAAAGGATTCTCTCCTGTACCTGCCATTTCTTTGGTTTTTCAAAGGGAGGAGGGGGAGTTAGACATAGTATGACTGTTTTGCATTTTTACTGGTGCCTCTCTTCATCTCATAAAGGATATTTTCATAAATGTTCATCTACTTTGTAAGCAATAAAGATATTCATAGTAAAAAAAAAAAAAACAAATGGTATGGTACTATCACAGCTATTTTGAGAACAAGTACTCCTGGCTTGAGTTGTAATTGTTCATTGCACAGAGAATTCACGCGCGTGCACACACACACACACACACACACACGATCGTATTTGTAACACAGACCGAGATCCGTGTTTCCGTGTCCTGCCCATGGACCTCATGTCTCAGAACAATCACTGGCACTGATGAATCTCCCTACTTTTGTTGTGACTTGTTACACGGGATTTTGCAATGTGTCACATATGCCTCTTTCGGTGGCTCTTCGGTTCTTCATGTGATCGAGGAAGGTCTTCCCAATCCTAAAACAACCCCACATTCTAGGTTTGCCTCTCTGGTTGCACTTGAGTCCACTTGGGATTTATTTGCACACGTGAGGGTCAGGGCATCGCCACCTGCACTTGCGCCCCCTTTTCCCGTGGTTGTGGAACTGCCTCCCGTAGCGTCTGTCAAACCTGTCGTCCCACTGAGACCTGCCCAGTTTTATGACGGAGAAGCGGGTGGCTGTGTGGTGGCTGCTTCCCAAGGACAGCACTGAACAGCTGGGCCAGTTGGCTGGGGTTGGGGGATCTGGGTCTCCTGCCAGACCTTAGCCAACCAGGGCTCAGGCTGGCCCTGAAGATGGGCCCTCCCCGGCCCCTGCTGTCACAACCTCTCCCCACCAATGAAGGGAAGCAGAGTCTAAGCCACTCTGGATATTTTAAAACACAGCGCTTTGTCATTGAGAAAAGATTGTCTCCCCAGTGGCTCCTGGCATTGGCCTCCCTGCCAGGAACTTGGACCCAACTGGACCCTCGCAGTGAGTGCAGAAATGTTTGTGGCCCTGGGGCAGCGTGGCTGGGAGGTGAGGCC